CCATATGTGAAATCGGTTGCACATGACAAACCAACGAAGAAGATTGTCTCCCGCTCCAGCATATAATGAACAATACTCTGCATCGAAATTATATTTCAACCGAGGTCTGGCAATATAAATTATTAGTTTTAGATAAAGAAAATGGCTCAACGAAACTAATTCGCATAACATGTTTTTTTTTTCGCTCTGCCATGGCAAGTTGCTTACATTTACAAAGTATCATAAGTATACAGTTTTTTGAAATTTCATAGCAAAAAAAAAAACTCTGATTAGAAATTTGTATTGCATTGTTTGCTCAATTTTCATCATCATCGTCTTATTTGTGCATATATTTTATTTAATTTTTAGTTCCTTCAATTTAACGTAATGTGATTTGATAACGACTACTGTGCATACAGTCATTGTAGTATGATATTTGAGCCGCGTGAATGAATCTTAATTTTTCTATGCAACAGTGGCGATCATTTGCATAGAGAGCAACAAATCAACTATCTAAGCAAAAATAATAAAATTATTACAAACATACAAATTAGCCATTGCAACCGATCTCATGCGGAACAATGTGCAGCGCATTTATCGTGTCACTTAAACGCACGTGGCTTCATTCACTGTAATTTCTTGCAAATTTGTCTGGTTTGAGAAAAACAACTCTCAAAAACGCACACAATATTGTTGAATTTTAATGTATGCGCCTTTTTTTCTTTTCCTTTGAATTTAATAACATATTGCATTGGCACTGGTGCAATCTGTAATGCTTGGCTAATTTATCCCATATGGTATATTCTCGGTTTTGCGATCGTTCGACGACAATTATAATTTTGTAAACATTTAAAATATTTTATGTACGTTTCTCTACTTCTCTCCATACCTCTCTCTCTCTTTCGAATTTTGTTTTGTTGTCAGTGAAATTACTTTCAAATCAAAATGTGACTCATTGACCTACATCTCTTGTTGCATACGTTCCAATTTCCGAAAGGGACACCGATTTAATATTACTTGCACATAATTACCTTTTACATAGCCGTACGTAGAAGCTTTGGTCAATCTAATAGGATAAATAGTTCAATGGACCACATACATCAACGGCAACAACGACACAGCATAGCATTAGCACCATCCCTCTGTGCAGCGCTTTTCAACGAGTCTGTAGTTTCTAATACAATGAGTTCATTATATGTGCAAGCACATTTGGTCGAATTAGAATGCCTATAGGCCAATAAGATTTTTAATTCCAATCAATAAGAAAATTTACAAAAAGAAGAAAAACAGTCCCAGACCCGTGGCTGGTTAATATTCCATTTTTTTACCACAAAATATCGAAGAACACACCTGTTCTCTTTTTAAAAGAATAACTTTCATTGAGAAATTTGTAAAAAAATATATTTGCTTTCATTCTGTTGAAATCACAACTGGACGAAAAAGGAATCATTTCTAGCAATTAAATTCAACACATTAGCCGAATAATTATTGAACATATGGAAAATAAATCATAAATATTTCATATAAAAATGATATTTCACTCAAAATCCCATGCACTAAGCATGACATGAAGCCACATTAGTTTATTCAAGTTGAAATCCATGACATTAGCTTTGATTTATTGCGACAGAGTTTTGAGAATGGTCAATAAATGATTAAAATATGAACTTAAACGTAACAGTCTTATTGACATCCAAATCGATGAATTTGTATTCGAATAAGTGAGGTGTATGTATTCGCGTGTGTACAACTAAATATGTTCGCACTCCAAACATTCTTCTAACGAATGCGATTAAATATTGGTGCGATAGTTTTGTGTTCTATTTTTACCGTATCGACTGTCGAGAAAAAAAAAACGTCATACACTGTTGCTTCAACCAACAACAAAAACTAGACTATCGTCTACTTGCATTATTGATCAATTTGTCTCTATAAATTAACATCAAGTATTCGATTTCATTTTGTTAACAAATTTTCTGTGTTCAAATAATTTGGCCATTTTCAGTAGATTTTCGATTCTGGTGATGGTGTCATTTTTGGATAAAACGAGCAAAAAATTGAATTTTTGTACTTCGTTTTTTCCATGAATGAAATATGTAAAATTATTTTACGATTTTTCTAAAAAATCCTTAAAATTATCAGCAAAGAATTCACAATTTTGTAAACGACTTCAAACCATATCAAGTCCACCATTTTCTCTGATTTAGAATAAAAAAGCAATGCTTAGAGAAGTACGAAAATTAAGAAACGCCGTAAAAAAACAAAATGACCAAAAACGACGAGAAAAATCACATGCGATCAATAAAGTATCACCCATTCTCGTTCTAATTCGTTGTTCGTCGAACTCATATATTCCATCGGTTTGCGCATTTAACAGAATCCAATTGAGATACGATTATCGCGCTTGAACATTGCTTTCGTTTGTTTGTTCTTAATATTTTTGCGTACTCATTGCGTACACCAAATTTTGCTCGTGTTTTTTTGTTCATAAAAATCAAAAATAAAATGAAATAAAAATATAAAATTCATCATTCATATGTTTGCGAATAAAATAGCGTATTGATAATGATTTCATTCATGAATTACAAAATGTCGGTCGAAATGAGAAGAAATCGTTGTTTTAAAGTTTTAGAAAATGTCGACTGTGACTGGTGAAATTAGCCACACCGCGAAATTGTAAAATTTTCCTCAGCAAATGCCGGAGATGCAGAGCAGAAAATATATATATATAAAAAAAGGGAGACGATAAATTGAGAAACACCACCCAATATACGCTGTAAATATGGCGAATAAAAGCGAGAGCAACAGAGACAGTATGAGACGAAAACGCGTAAAAACGATGTAATTAAAAATGTATGCTGTTTTGTAATGAGAGAAACGGCAAAGGCGAGAAACAAACATATTCATCCAACCCGATCCATTCAGCACATACACTTACACACATATACTATATATATATATATGTATCTTACCTCTTTTATTTTACCCAATTGAATTGATAATAAATGAAGAAAGAGACGCGCGTCGCGCGCGACAGAGAGCACACAGAGAAACAAACAAACAAACTACAACGAAGAGCAATATCAGTATGTATATACACACAGAGTATACAGAGTAAAGCAAGTAGATTCCCACTGCTTTTGCATTTGAACGAATTCACCGAGAGAGCTGAACTGACTACAACCAATGAAATTTTCCACATGCTCTCGCTACATGCTACAGCCGTACAGACGAATGCCCGGCATAAGAGATATACGAAACACATACATACATGCGCATTTATTATCTGGCTATATTCAACCAGCCCCACTCAATCTTAGCACAAACAAAATTCAAACCGAATATTCACTCGATGTGGATATTTTGAAATATTATCACGATAACATATCGAAAATAATGGCATTTTTTAAACCGAATCTTACATATTTGTGAGAATATTAATAAATGTTCAATGTATTCAATGGACAGGAGAGCTCGTGTCGGTGCTTCGTTCAGCGAGAGAGAGTTAAGTACAGGCGCAAACAAGCAGTCAGAAAAATATTGGTCGACAAACCATAGCAAACCGGCGCAAACATTTCGCGTTCGAAGAGTTGGACCGAACACTAACCCGAATCATTGCATATATGTATATATTCGCACGGCATCACTGTGATCGCTCAGGCGATATTGTCCAACTCTGATTGTTGTTGCTGTTAAACTGTTTCCCTCTCATATCATAAACACACAGCACATCGTCGTTATTTTTGTTGTTGTTGTTGTTGTTGTTGTCCTCATCGTCGTCGTCATCGTCATCTTCGTTGTCGTGCATTTTATGTGCTTCATTTAGATCGCGGACCGAATGGGAATTAATGTATAACAGAGATGGCTAGCTGCGTTAAAGAGTTTTGTAGCAATTCAATAAATGTGAAAAGGACGGAATATGGAAATTTTCGCTCTATAATCATCTACCTTAATGTTCAATGTTGACGCCAATTATAACTTCTTTCTTCTTCTTCTTGTTGTTGTTATATTCTGGTTTCTTTTTCCACCTCAAACTGATTTGGTTTCATTTGACGCAAAGATTTTTTTCCTTTCGTTTTGACAACGATATTGTAATTTGCAAATATTAAAAAGTTATTACACTCCATCCGTGGGATGATGGTTTTAGTATTAAAACTTCTTAATTAGAAGCTACTTTATTGCTCGTTTTTTTAAAAATATATTTATTCGATTTAATATGAAGAGAAAAAAAATAATTGTCAATTTTAATTAGTTTTTTTTAAATAATAATTAAATTGAAAGAAAGCTACATTCATTGAATCATTCGATCCATTATCTCACATCGTCATCCCAAGTGATGTGCAAAATGCTGCGAATACAATACACATGCAGATTTTTGTGCTCTTGCACATAGATAATATGTGTCTCCCTACCCAAACGAGGTATGAATGATATGTGTTGCTTTTTCGCAGGATTGCACACATAACAAGGATTTTTGTGAGCCGATGAGCGCGCGAATAAAATGAGTGTACAGAAAGACGAGAATGAAAAAAAAAACACAACAAAACCATCACACACAAAATCGTACACATTTGTGCATAACCAACATACCTTTAACCATATGCCGATACCAATACACACATGTGTCTACTGCAATACATACAGTACCACACGAACGACGTGTGCCGCTGAACAGAATCAAAAACATCAATGCACCAATACCATCAATGTTTTTGTTATTTTTTCGTATGTTGTCCACATAGAAAACACCAATACCAATGCCGTAATCGTGTATTGTATGAAATGAAACCGAAACCAGTGTTTGTGTATGGGTGAGCCGCTGCCGCTGCTGCACGTTTTCATTCGTTCGTATTCTCTCCCATTCGTTTGAATCGATGTTGTGTGTGTGCTGTCTCGCTCAAGTGAATGAAGAAGACAAACACAAAACAACAACACATTTTTTTCACACTTACGATAGACGCATTTACTCCAGTCTTCGGTCACCGCTCGGTAAGAGCGCATTTATAACACATAGACCGCTTAACGCGTACAAATGAAAAAAAACAAAAGAATTATTAAATCTTGTACAATAAACAATTAGCAAAAAAAAAAATAATATTAAATTAATTAATTTTCTCAATTAAAAGAGCAGAAATTTTATCGCAATTTTTTTGTACAATTTTTTGTTTTCTGTGAAAAATCAGTTTTCAAATAACAGACACTGAAACAAAAACAATCGAGAAGGGACAAAAAAAAATAATTAACGGACGATCGAACCAAATCAAATGATTGAACATTCACAATAATATCATCACCGAATTGATTGAGATCGACTATATCGTAATGTCATAATATCAATTGACGGTTCAGTTTATTTGAGTTGACAATAGTTTTGTTTTTAAGGATTGGTTTTTCATTTCGCATCAATTAAACAGTGTTCTTTTTAAAAAGAAATCACCATTATTCAGACAATAAAAACAACAACAAAAAATCAAAGTGAATCAGTGGAACAGACGACATAGCAACTGTAGTAGCAAAAAAAAAGACACACATAAAAAGTGTAAAAGAGTAGCAATTGACAAAGTTGACAGAAAGAGAGAGAGTGTTTGTTTTTTTTTTGCAAATTCTGTAGATCAGTGGAATACATCACATCAAAATAAAAAAGTAATCATTTTATACAAATCAATTCGATGGCTATGTTAGTTTTAAACAATACTGAAATTCTCATGTTATGCAAAATTAACGGTATCGACCAGTTGTTAAAGGTTTTTGTTTTTTTTTTTGCTCGGGTTGTCGAGGCTTTTTTCGACTCTTCTTTTCTCATTCCTAATTGTTGCATTTCAATCTTAATTACGTATACGGTATATGAAGATGATCATGAAAAAACAACCGAAAAAATTTAACCGCGTGCATTGTGTATCACTATTCATCTTTTTCGTACCTTGAATTATTCCATTCTTTTGATTCATAATTTTTGTTTCATTTAAACTGATCGATTTTAACCGACCAGAAGAATGTTTTGTGAGAGTGAAAAATACACAGTTTGGTTACACCAAAATATGAATGCAAGAGAGAAAGAGAGACAAAAAAAAAGACTGAAGTAACGAACGAAAAAAAAAACAAATACCCTAAATATTGGTGAAGTTCGACATGCAATACAAACGATTAATTATTATAATAATAGCTTTGCTGTTTTTCCACCGAACTTTTGCATACATATGTAGAAATTTTTATCGCAAGATATATAGGATTGTGCATGCTGTTTTGTTTGCAAGCAATTAATATTTGTAGCGTTTGATGTGCGAAAAATCAATTAATAGTGTTTTAAAGAATAAAAAAGTGTTTCATGTTGTTCATTATAATGCAGAAAGAAAGAAAGAGATTATCATGGAATTTAAAGTTTTTAAAACGCGAATCCCGATCATATACAACAACAACAGCAACAACAACAACAAAAACTATTCAACATTAATGTGTGCGCATGTGTAAATTATCGGCGAATTAAATTGTTGAATTTTTCGAATAAAAAAAAATAAAGACAAAATCGAAAACGAAAAACCATGAAATATAATTGATCAAGCAAAATAACTTGGTCGAACGGAGCGAAATATGCACGAAAGGATATATAATTCAGTGATCAGTTTCCGTTTGTTTCGATGGGAAGCCTGCGGCAAAAGGCCGATCCAATGTTACAAGTGCCTTTCCACGTGTCACACAAAATTGGCGCGGCTATATTCTGCCCGTCCACACATGAGATTGCCGAAAACCAATTTCAGTTTTTCAGTGCCTTAACCATGCGTTAATTGCATTTTTTTTTTGCAATTAAAGTTATAAACGATCAGCACATTGTTCTGTTTTAAAAGTGAATTGTAAAAATTCATTTCGAGAAAGAAAACACAGCACACACTTATACACATGAAATGATTGCCATTCAATTGGATTGAGCCGTTGAAAGAAAGAATGTGCTTGCATAAAGTGACATTAAGTACAAACAGCTCGATTTGAATACTAAATGAGAGCTTGTATGTGTTTGTGTGTGCAAAACGTAATGTGAACACATTCAATTTCACTTCGATTTTCGATTGAGCATAAGATTTATGTAAATTTTATGAATGCCGTGTGCGTTCAACGCACCACCGATATAATTATGATTTTATGTGATAAATGTTTTTTTTATTTGTTCTTAGTTTACTTCTTTGTTTTTGTCGATTTTTATTTATTGTGTATGCGTTGTTCGTGATTTGTTTTCATAATTTCGTTTACTTTGGATTTTTTTTTTTCATATCGAATCGACACATTTTTGTAATGAAAACACATTAATTGTCAAAATAAATTGAAATAGACTATAGATAGAAACAATCAATGAATATATAAAGAAAAAAAACACCGTAACAATAGAGCGGTAACAGTGTCACAATAGTAAAACTGAATTTATGCTATTCACAATTGACAACGACGACGACAACAACAATACACTGAACTTGCACAAAAAATCTATTGAACATTTGAGGAGCGAGAGTGCGTGAGAGAGAAAATAAACGCAGCCCCGAAATGCGAAATTGCCGTGATGGTTGAGAGATTGACCCTAAATCACAGACCAATTTCACGTCTTTCTATTTGAAAGAATTTGAATGTGTTCACATTGCCTTTTGTGCGTACCTTAACCACCATTCTCATTTGAATTTACAGTTGAATCGGTTTTCAAGTGCGTCGTCACCAACTGTGTGTGTACGACGATTCATGTTTTTTTTTGTGTTCGGTTGCTGTTGCTTATGAACTATTTTCGGCACATTTACACTTTTTGGGGTGCCATCATACTAAGCCCAGAGTCGCTCTCATAATCATCCCGAAATAAATGCAGCCTTATTGATTCTGAATGGAATATTAACATCTAATCTTTCACATGCAACAATATTCACGTCGATCATCATTTTACCGATCGTGTTTTTGTTCGTTTTTGTTGTTGTTGTTGTAGATCGGTAACCAGTATTAAAAAAAACACACACATCACACAGAACAGCTCAACATGTGAAAGGGAATTTTACCATCGCGATATCACTATCATTATAATTAAAATGAATGAAGAAAAGAGCGCACATTTCTTTGAGCGATTTTTTTTTCTCTTCAGATTCTCTTTCTTCCTATCTGCCATATCGTTGTTGTTTTTAAATATAACCGATAGATATTATGCAAAAAATGTAAAGCGAAAAACAAACCTCATTTTTTTGTTCATTTTTAGAAAACACATTCTAACCATACACACTCACACACTGAAAGAAGGAAACACTAACTAAGCTCAGGATTATTTAATTTTGTTCAACGAAACAAAAAAAAAAACACACACACAGAAATACCCAAAAAGCAACTAAGTAAGCAAAATACGTGGAACGAGAAAAAAATATATATAAGCGAAACATACGCAAAGTGAAAACAAAAGCCAGCAACATCGACATCCAACAAAACAAGAAACAAAGGAAAAAAAACGTTTTTTTTTACGGAACAAACACAAATAATAATAGTACTAATAAAAAAGGAATAGTAAATTTTTTGGGATTTCGGTAACATCAACAACATCAGCAGCAACAAAATTACCAGCGAAAAAAAGGATATTGAAAACAAACACACGAGATAAAAGAAACGAAAAAAGCAACATTAGACCGAATAAAAATAGTTTGAAAGGAAAAAGAAAGAGAGAAAAAAATAAGAAAAACAAATCCAGAATAATTGTGTGTGTTGTGAAACGGTTGGCATAGTGTTGTGTCTGTGCAAGTGCAAATTAAAATTAATATTCGTTATCTACATCTATTATGTTGTGTTGATCTTTTATGTTGGCTGTTTCGTGGTGCATTGTGGTGCCGAATATCGAATAAAAAATATTTAAGAAAAACAAAAATATCGCAGCAGAGAGAATCTATAAAAAAAAACAATTTCAGAAAGAATTAGTTGAACGAAGAATAAAAAAAGTGACCAAAAAAAACCAAACCAAAAAAATATCACACACACAAGAACGGATATAAACAAAACACACAAAAAAAAACAATATCTCCTATTGAAATTCGGTGCGTCTGTGTAAATTAATCAGGTAAGAAATGGCATTTATTTTATCGTATTTTAACCGAAGAAAAAAACATCTTTTCGAACCATATGAAACAATAGTAAAACTGAATCAAAACCACGTTATAAGGGCGAAATGTCGCCATTCGCCTTACGAATGATTGGCAGAAGAATCGATTGAACAATCGAAATGAAACATTCCGGAATTTGTTTCTTCTCTCTCTATGTGTGCTTTTTTTTATGTGACTTTTGTTTCGTGTGCATTTTTAATCATAATTTCTGTTTTGTTTTCCATCGATTCTACCTCCGGGATACTCTTTTGTTGATTTATTTCGTTGGTTTTTATTCGATAAATATAAATTTGCTTATTAGCAGCCGATTTTCCACTTAAAATTTATGCATTTGTATCGACGGTGAAATGTTTTATTTGGGGTGAGTTCATTTTTTTTTTCGATGGTTATTGCAATACACGATTGCGTGACTTGAAGAGATTTAGCCGCATTGCCATTTGGAGACAGATAGATATCTATCTATTTGTTTTGTTTATTTTCTGATTAATTAAAATGTTCAAATTAATATTTCGTCGATCATTTGAGCAGATGATTCAATATGTGTGTGGTGCAAATTATGTGCGTGTGTGTGTGTGTGTGTCTTTTGGCCAAAGAGTATTATGAACACACGTACGTCTCTTTGTGTACAGACATTTGTTCGCCAATCACATATTTTTATATTCGCGCAAACGAACGCGCTCGTTCAAGTCATCCCATTTTGGCTATTAACACACGCATTGAATGATAGTAAATTACTTTAAAATTGGCAATAAAATGCACACATGGCGTACCATTACTCTTGATATATAGCGGGCGCGATGAAGTATGTGCAACATTCTTGAATCATATCTGCCGCACACTCTATTCTCTCTGTGTGTGCTTCACTTCATTTGTACACAAACACAAACAAAATGTGTACGATCTTATAGGCGAGAGTTTGCCGCCATGTAGCAAATTCTTAAGTTATGGCAATAAGTTTCGTTCTAACTTTGTTTCAGGCGACAATTATGACAAAAATGAGAACCTTAATACACAATTACAATCATTCACACGCCAAAAACACGTGAAAAATATTGAGCAAAAGAGATTCGGTGAAGCGAATGTGCGATAGGCGACAAAGGGAATTAACCACAGAAAGACTTTAAATCTTGTGCACCAAAAAGACAGGACACAACAACAACAAAAAAAACTCTATATATATGAACGATGAGAGACAGACACAGAGAGAAAGAGAGTAAAAGAGCGAGATTTACCTCGCAAGATATGAAAATAAAAATAAATCACATACCAGAAGGCACACACAGGAACAACGTACACACAGGACACAAGAAGAGATACGTGTAAAAACGGAGCGAAAATCAATAACACGTATGAAAATAAATAATACCAAAATGCAGTAAATAACACCAAACAATAATCCATTAAAATATTGTATGCGTATCGTAATGGTTTTGGTGTAAGTGTGTGTGTGCGTGTGAGAGAGAAAAAATGCGTGTTTGTGTGCGTGTTGAGATCTTTCAATCTCTTTCCTCACTCTCTATCGTCATTTTGGATACATTGGGTTCAAAGAAACTGCATTGAATACATTGTTACCAAACAAGATATGATTTTTTTGCTTTGCGCTCTCTTTGCTGTTTCCATGCACAAACCGATCGACGCGTTACCATATAGTGATTTTTAAAACGTACTTGAATGTTGCGCTATTGCCACAATTTAAGCGTAGCTGCATGTGTATCGGCATCGATGTGAGTGTAGAAAAGAATTTGCCGTTTCGCATACACACTAAAAATCATCAAATTTGATCTGTGTGTAGTGCGTTACATCTGTTGGAATTTTTTCCAAGCATTGTTTTTTTTCTCTTCCTTTTTTTTCAATTCTTTTTCTTCATCATCACGATGATCATCATCATTACCATTGTTGGTGTGATTTGTGTGTATACACACAGAAAGATGATCATCATCGTTGATGATGATGGTGGTGATGAGGAAAGAAAAGATGCAAACACACATCAGGCAAGTGGATGCCGAAAAAAAGGCGCATGAAACATGGGCTTATGATCTGAGCTAACTCTCTCATCTTGAAATCGCTCCTGGCACAAAATTCGTTGATGTGGAATTTTCATGCCGTTTAAAGACTCTTTCACTTCTCTGCCACAGCCGCTTACAATCGAATCACATTTCTCTCATCATTGCCGCGCGACTCTCAATATTGTGCTTGCTGCATTTTGTGTTAAAATTGTATAATTGTAAGATTATTAAATTGTTTGCGTCCGCATAAACGATGCCAAGCGATCAGCGAAAAATGTTTGTTGTTATTCGGCGCTCGTTGTTGTATGTTGTCGAATAGACAGTTCGTGTTCTCCGATTCGTTGCTAATTCACACAATAAGAGAGTGAATTGATGCCGTTGATTTTTCGTTTTGTTGCACTTTTTAAGATGTGCATGTGTTAATGAGCCCGCCTGAGCATATTTTTTGTTTTCGGTTGTCAGAAAGACAGAGAGATAGAGGGAGGAGGAAAAGGAGAAAGAGGGCAGAAAGAGAAAGATTGTATGCAACGTGCACATTTTCTGCATACACGAAAACAGATCATAAACAATATTCGTTGCGTTAATTTTTTTGTTCGTTGTTCATCGTTGTTCTACGTTGTACGCTGTTATTATTATTTATTATGCACCGAAAAAAAACGAATCATCAACAACAACAACAACAACCAAGCCAAACTGAATATATTCAAACTGTGTAAATGAAGGCAGATGAAGAAGATATTTTATCCGAAAATGGTTAAAAAGATGAGTGAACGAATCAACAGATCGAAGACCAATAAAACTACATCGTGCGAATATTGTGTGTGTTCGCAAGATTTTTCCCGGTGTTCGGCATGCTTTATGCTTGGTTATTTGTATTTCGCGCACAGAGTAATTATGCGTTCGTTATTGCAATGTATTGATAATAGGAGTGAAAAACAAATGAGAAAGAATCACCAACAACAACGACCGAAGCAACAGAAGAGAAAAAAACTACACACACATAGTAACAACACACATAAAATATGCACATCAAAAACAAAAAATCCCAAGAGAAAGAAATCCATCGCATCTTGGTATAACATTCAACGCATTCATACACACACGCGCGCACGCACACATTCAAATCTCATCGAATTATTCATTCGTTTTTGTGTGAATGCCAGAATACCACCGAGATTATCAAATGGCTAACAGCTCAAAAGTGAGAATGAAAGCCAGCGCGCGCAACAAGAACAAAAAAAAAAGACCAAACCGGCCAAAGAACAGATTGCTGTGTTTGTGCTTACAACAAGCAAAAGATGGAATTGACGAGTTTATGCATATTATGCATATAACACCTTACTCACAGACAAAACGTAAGCTTTGTCTTATTCCGCTCATAGTGTCGACTATTGTGCGGTACAATGAGCAAGAGCAACTCACAAAATGAAAGAAAATGTGCATATGAAGCCTGAAAATTGTGGTGCTGTCGCGCCATCGACAATCACGGCAGTTAATGTTGCAACATCCAACAATATAACAACAACAAACTACAACTACAAATCTGAGGGAGACAGTGAATGAGTCACTGAAATAAGTGTGAATGAGAGAAAAGAGAGAAAAAATGAGACTCGGAAACGTTCGACATAATTTAGAATTATTTGCACACTTTTGCTCAGACGCATTTACGCCGAATCGGTCCTTTTCAATTACAGTATTCATACCTTGTTGATGCCTCTCTCTGTCTCTCTCTCTCTGTTTTTGCCGAGCAATTTCAATTTGTTGTACGGATGAATTGAAATGAAGAGAAAAAACACACGATGGAAATTGGTATTCGTTTGAAGAAAGAAAAAACGACTCATGTTGCTGTATGCACACATATATTTGCTCGTATACGATATTTCAGAGTATTATTTATGCTGTGTCATTTGGCAGACAAGTCGTTTTGACCCAAACCCATAAATTGGTGATAAATCGATAATGCATTTGTGGAATGCTTATTTTGAATTGTCTCACAGAAAGTGCTTGAAATCGATATGCAAAATGAAAAGAAAAACGTGCGCACATCGCACAAAACTGATTCATTTGTAAAACGAAAAAATCCTATGTGTTTTTTTCTCTTCCACAATTCTTTTGTGATTAAACATTCGTTTGTGTGTCTGGTCAAGCAATTTTGGTCGCGATTCTCGATATAATTTCCATCAATTTTTTTTTTGTGTGTTTGGTTTTGGTGCGGTGCAAATTTCATAAGAATGCTTAAATTTTCTCGGTACGCGCGTACATCTTTTGCCTTCACTCTCTTTTCTCTATCTCTCCCTCTTTCACTTTATGCATTGCGAACAAGCAACGCGATTAATTCCTCTTTATTATAAATTCCAATTAATCCGATCGATATGCTTATATGTGTATAAAAAAAAACTACACGAAGCGCGTATTTCTGCATATATATACATATTGTACCACCATACCACGTTGAAAACACTTTAATTGTACAGCCAAAGGCAACGAACATTTTGAGATTCATTTCGTTTGAAATTCTTTTCTCGTTCACTCATTCACCCAGAATGATTCTTGTTCTCGTTTGCGCTCTCATTTGGTTGTTTCGTTTGTTCATTTTGTCGATTTTTCGTATGCATATATTTTCGTTCTAATTTCTTTTTTCTGTAGCCATCGTTCAGAATTCTGCTCGTGTTTTTTTCTTCTTGCGTTCAATATATGGTGTTCAGTGTTCACAATTGTATTTTCTCTCTTAAAAAAATTGTAGGCGAATTATTTACAGTGCAAAAATCGCAAAACGCGCGAGAAAAAGAAACATTAAGAAGTTCAAGATTATTGTGCTGGCTGCTTCTGGTGCTGGTGGTGGTGGTGTTGGCCACATCTGCTATTGCTAGACTCTTGGATGTTTTTTTTTTCTTCTCATTTACTCACCAAACAAACAAACGGAATCGAAATTCCATGTAGAGAAAATAAAA